AAATCAGATCTTGATTATGATTAAAATTTGAAGGGAAACTGAATTGATGAACGAAGAAAAAAACCCATTATTGATAACTCTCGACTAGTATGAAACGAATGTCTCTGACTTGTAACGTTCAATTATCTAACTACTTAAGACAATAAACTGTCAAATATAAGAAAGATTTATCCTTTTTACGTGAGTCCCAATACTTCAACATCAACAATGATGAATCAGTAGTTGCATCATACATGAACATGAGTTCTTAAACATCTATGTTGTAACGGGTGACTGCAGGTTTTGGTAAGCAGCGTTTATATCGATCGATTCAGTGACACGTAAACACGTACGAACGACCTAGAGTCCCGATTGGCCCTGCTTCCCTGTCTATCCCAGCCAGTTGAGTCCAGAACGGAAGTCACAGCCTCTGAGATATGAAACATTATATTTCAAACACACTATGTTTATACACTAACCAAGCAGACCACATCGTACCATAAAAATAGAAAACAACATTTACACAATATTAAACAAATGAAGCAAATATCGACCAATAGGGAATGTACATTTAGCATCCAAGGACAACATTAGACTTAACATGATAACTATTGGTATATTTTTCTGCACATCCTAACAATCTATAATTTCAATTCAATGAAATTTCAGTATCTTCCGTTATTACATGCCACTTTTCTTAGCCGAAATAAATGATATAATCTTTGAATAGTAATCTTTCACCATCTAGAATTGACGACAGTATAATTAATGGATTTTATCGTGAAATTCATTTTAACTTATGTCAATTTGTGATGAAAACCCTAAATCTAATTCTTAACCTTCTTTAATCATCAATTGTTAATCATAATTTGGATTACTCATATTACTTTATAATCTTCATTTATTCCAAAATAAGAAGGTAAACACTTTCAAGGTTATTTTAGTAACATTCAATAGTGAACCATACAAAAAAATTTCTTTCACAAATTCAATTTGTTTAAAAGTTTATAAAAAATTATTTTTTTTAATGAGTATCATAAGTTCATTATTAATAATTATTCTTATCAATTATTAATATTAATTGAATATAAATTCATAATTAACAGAAAACTTCTCTTTTTTTTTTAAATTTTTTATTTTGGCAACCAACTTCATTCAAACAAACAAACAAACAGAAAAATTTAAACTGTTTATATTCTTTATTTATTTTATTACCTTAAAGAGTATTTATTCATTTATATTTTAGAAAATGTTAATTAATCCATTTCAAATTATTATATTTACCCAAAATAAATAACTAATTCAAACCCAATATTGATTGAACTCCACTACTTACATCCATTCTCCATTTCAAGAATTGTATTTTTAAAATTAGTTACTAGGTAAGTAGTATAGTTTCATGAAAAATCGTAGAACTTTTATTAGCTTAAATCATGAACTAATCTTAGCTAGACTACTAATGAAAACCAAGATAACTTCGTGATTTAAACTATGAAGGTTTTACAATCTGTATAAAATCCTATACTGATAATAATTATATGCTCATTAGTGATCGCGTTCAATATACAATTCCTGGAGTTCTAAAACAATACCGTGATAAATGGAGTTCAATCAAATAGGGTGTGAGGTACCTATTCATCTTCGTCAATGGAAGTATTTCGAGTAGTATCAATAATTGATTGAATTGACACACACTGTCACCCCTAAATGCCCTGGTACGGCCGAGAGTAGGGAGAGTCAACTATCCCTCTCGAAATGCTCTCACATCGCCACACATATACAGCCACTACCATGGAAGTCTTACTCACTGCCTTCTCACGGAGTGTTGTTTACGAAATGGAAAGGACGAAAAGCGAATATCTGGCACTCTAACCGGGTTGGTCAATACGGAGGATCCACCTAGGGGAGTTGGAAAACCCTGATTCCGAACCAATGGTGCACATGTGCTCCAGTATCCTGAGGGGACAAATGGCGTATGAACCAATCGTTGGTCGCTGGCTACCATGGGACTGCATTTCCTTGTAGTTTCAGTTATTATGTTAAATCAATATTCTAGCTTTCGGACAGCCTAATCTATTCATTCTTCTTGAGTCGTATTTTAACCTTGTTAATTATTCGCTTATACAATCTTGACTGTTTTTATATGAGAGTATATGTGTGTGTACACTTGTTATCCTATTCATCACATGTCTGTAACTTATTTTTGTGTGACTAGAAATATTAATTAACGCTTGACTAAAGGGAGTTGGCTTACCCGCCATCTCCACTGCGCGTCATTTTGCTTCGCTTTATTCTATTCGCTTCATATACAAAATATATGTATTCAAAAGTCCATTCTCGTTATTTGACTTATCTAAATCCGTTATCGACTGACGCGATTAAAGTCGATGATTATATACGAGGATAGGCGACATATATATTTCAATACAGTTTCTAAAAATCGCTCTACAGTTATTAATAAACTAGCGAAACTAAACCTTATAGATTAACATAATTAACTTTAAGGCTTACTACATCCAATATGATTCAAACAGTCAACAGTTTTGTATTTATTAGGAATTGTTCAACCAAATAAATTGTTAATCATCGATTAGGACACGATGATCCAGTATAGCGAATTTCATAATATAATTATGGTATTTTAGTTACAAATGTGGAAGTACCCAACAGATGAAGATGTGCCTAACTTCTCCATGGTTCACAGTCTGATGTTCAGAATTATTAAGTTACGAAATGTGACTGTGTATTGCATAATTTTCTTTGATACTGACCCGTTTTAACAGAACTAATCACTTATCAAATTAAAATCCGTCAATTTCGCACTCTTTCCAATTTGTTATTATTGTTATTGACTTCCAAAAAAATCATCTATTAGTCAGAAAGATTACTGTAATAGTTCAATGTAAACTCTTCAAAAGTTCATGGTACTTATTAAATGTGCTATCGTGTAAATCTATCGAAAAGTTGTTGTTATATCCAAGATACTAAACCTGAATAGTTATTTGACTGGTTTAGGCCTTTTTGTTTTGATGATACTTTACATTACGGGCTGACTTGAATTAGACAATTACTTAGACAGCTGTTTCATTAAAGTTGTTCAGTGCTCTCAGTTTTTCAACAGATGTTTCTGGTTTAAGTCGTTTCTTGGTACAAAACACCTCCAAACTGTTTTACTAGTAATAATGATTTGGATTATTCCACTTGAGGCAAAAGTTATTGAATGTGGGTCATAGTATGTACATCAACACTAGAATCCAGACACGTCGAGCTGACAAGTCCCGAATAAGGCGAAATGTGCGTTCTGGATTCTACTGTTACCCATAATCCATATATCTTTACAAACCCCTCGCCTAAATTATTTATTTATTTTGATAATTTAATATCATTTAATGAATTCTATATTTGTTCATGAAACTCATATTTCTAACAGTCGAAAGCACGCCAAAATATATCTCGTAAATTAAAACGGAATCGTTTTTGCGGTTTTGTTCTCTGAGCTGGATGGCTTGCTCGTGGAGCTTTCATCGTTCTCCTGATGATGTCGTTCGGAAAGACAATGAGAGCTTTACGGTCAAACCATCCAGCTCAGAGAACAAAATCCTACCAAAATCATCCACTTAAGTTACAAACCTCCACTATTTGAAAACGCAATTATCATTATATTCATGCTTCGTTAGGGGTAGCAAACCAATTGCATATGTAACTGATCTTCTTTGTCTTTTCTCTGGCTTGCTTATCCAATCAAACTAAATTCCAAATAGACTATTAGTTAACTTAAAGTATCAATCATGATGAAATTTGCGATCACGAAGTTTTGTCGTAGAATATAACTATTTGTCAAAGGATCTTTAAAAATCTGAACCTAAAGATCAGCTCAATTAAACTCAACAGTTGCGAAAAAATATCGAAAAGATAAACACAAATCTAGTTTTTCTATTGGTTGTTTGAATCTTCCCACTGATATTTGGGACTACAATTGACCAGTCTCTTGTCAGCCACAACTTTATAGCCAGTGACTGCATGATCCTACTTTTAAACAAATAAATACTGAACTGTGATATAAATAAGTTTTGTAAGATGAATGGCATGTATTTCAAACTCAATCATTTAGTACGAATAATTTTACATTGCAACACTGTAAACTTTAAACGGACCCACTACAGTTGGAGCTCATTAGCGCCACTAGATAACTGAGTTCACAGAGAACCAGTTACCAGACAACTAGAACTGTGAAATGATGAATACCTTCGACAGTTATAATTTATAGAACACACTATACTGATATTTGTTAAGTGGTTGATCAGCTTTAAAACTATCCTTTGATTTCATTCATGTTGGGATGGCTCCCAGAAAGTGTGACGAAGCCTCCAAAGGTTCTAAAGGAGACAAAGAGATCAAATCTAATCAGGATCCGATAGAACGTTCTAGCATGTCAACGTGGTATGCTGCGATTGGACAATAATATAACTTTATACTTGTGGATTGACTGGTTTATAATGATGTTATAGTCTATACTAAAAACTATAAATGCCCTGTCTTTCTGTACAGTTTTGACACTCAATAACCACTCCTACAGCTTTCTTTCGTTTTCGATTTGCGACTGCGGGGGTTTCTCTGAGCTCGAATGCCGACATCTGTAATCAAGTAGAGGACATAACAATTCATTTACTAAATACAGGTGCTTTACTCAGATCCAAACCTTATTGTTCCATGCCTGAGAAACAACGTTACAACCTAGGTAGCCAAAACCGAATTAGATGGAATGAGGTTCAAACCTTTGATCTCGGAGTAGAAATTGAAGTTCTTTGACAAGAAAAAGCCAACGCGCCACAATTGGAAGAACAGTCAGTTAGAGAAGTTTCACCATCAGAGTGGTAACGACAACAACAAATAAACTTTGCGATTTCCGAGACACATTAATCGTTCGTACACAGCAATATAACAACTTTTCATCATGAATCAATATGCACAAGTATATTTTATACGAAATAATAATAATAAAAGGTTCAAAAGATAATTCATTATTCAATTGATTTTGGATGGTTTGCATATGTCTCAGTGTAGTCGACACTTGTTTCAAGAAGACGTTCACCTAATGGCGTGAAAAGAAGAAGAAGGAAAAAAGCATCGGTAATTTTTGGGCTGCAATATTATAAGTGATCTACGAAGGTAGTCCGATTCACAGTTAGTTTTTATCAATAACTAATGTCATCTAGAGTAATTTTGATAACCATAAAGCAGTTTGGATAATTGTTTTGTGTTAGCTTGATATTCATTGAAAATAAACGATCCCATATGAGATGAGACTTAGAATCTCAAAGTTTCAACTCTTTGGAAATTATCTATAAATTCACACAATTAAGTACTATTTTTACAATTAGATTTGATAAGTGGAAGGAAAACAACGAAAAAGATAAAAACTTACGGATTAATTCAGCGATAGCACGTTGAGTTCGACGTTCTAATTTACGCAATTTCTTCTCAACACCCCTTTTTAAATCCCAATCAGGTTTACGAGGTGCAAGACTTGCCAAATTCTAAAGAATATATGAAATAAGAGTACAAATTTGCATTGGGTGTTAGGAGAAATAAAAAGAGATTATAATCATTGAATTAGTAATTCCCTATGTTTGACTTTTTAAAATTATCATTGATATCACTATTACTATTTCAACTCCACTCATATAGATCTTGTGAGTTTTTTTACGCAAACAATGGCAACTGAAACCTCTGCATATTTATGCCAGATCGTATGGTTGCTTATAAATGGTGAGAATGAATTTTCAATCAATTTACGTTGCCTTCTAACCGCCTTGATTTAAACAGTCAGTTAGCGGCGTTGACTGTCACACACTAGATATCTATAACCGATTACAAGTTTATACTCTAAAAGCTGTATAAACCACAATTTCTATGTGAAAAATGTAAAGAATAACTGATCGCCTAAGTAGAAATAATCACAACAAACTTCTAAATGGAACATAAATAACCAGATGTGGCAGAATACTCAAGGAAGTAACTAGACTCTACCTCTTATAGTACACAAACCAATTGTTAACCGTTATATCAAGTTTTTGTTTATCTACAGTAGTGTTTGTTAGACACCATAGCTATTTGAATACAATTCATCTAAGATCTCATACTGAAAATTATTGTCTGCTCATTAGTTACTAGACTCAGGAGGAAATTCCCATAATTCTAGCGAGAAACCGTGACCAGTGGAGTTAATGCGTGTCGGGTGCGAGGCAGTTACCTACCAAACACATTTTTTTATTAAAGCACATAAAAATTGGTACAATAGGGCACCAAGTATATATGCGCCACACTTCATTATTCGATTTGTTCACCGAACACGATGGAAGATAGTCGTGCAATGTCGTGCATTGATTGATGTTAAACACAAACACTGTAAGATGACGGCTCAGTGGTTTAGAGGATAGGCGTTCTCGTGCGAGACCGAAGGTCCTGGGTTCGGTTCCCGTGTGCGTGATCGTCGAACCGCACTGCTGATGATTCCTATAAAGGGACGAGACGGCCAGTCAGTGCTTCTAAATATTCAATGGTGGTTCAACTTAGATAGAATCATGATCTCAGTCAAATAAAACTGGTTAGCAGTGGCTTAGTAGGATAAGATGGCCCACTAAAAGATTCCCATTTTAATGATCTCTGAGCATAAATCTTTTTTATCGCGTAATTATTTCAAGATTAATTTTCTAATAGTGCAACGTAAGTTGTCTAATTAGGTTCACTATCATCAATCACCTCAGAAGAGCAACCATCAAATAACTGTTATTCAACACCAATTGTTATATATTCATCGTAAATTAAGCAACTTACAACTTCATCAACAATAACTGGTGCATCGGCAGCTTCCAGTTGTGCAATGATGTGCTTGTTCACTGCAAAAAAACAAATAAAGTACGGTTAGATGTTCAGTAGAAAAGTTTAGACGTTTGTAGATGATGGAAGAATAAACTGAAATGTACATGAGATCTGACTAGCAGTGAAATTTAAAACTCGAGTTTCGTCCTGTTTGAGACTCTTCAGTCGGATGCTCCTACATCCTAGAGTTGATGACCTAATTCTAACCACATTCCATCAATTCTATGTAAACATATGTTATCATGAGCAAAGATGGACGGTGGCTAGCAGTGGAATCTAGGACACACGTCTAGTCCTATTCAGGACTCATCAGCTGAATGTACCTATATCACCGAGTTGATGTTCACTCCAAAGCTCGAACCTAGTACCGTTCGCTTCAAACGCCATCGCGTTATCCATTTAACTACTGAATTGAAACGCACGTCCTGAATCCCATTACTAGCCACTAATCATCTCTGCTTATTTTTGTTACTTAATAGCAGTATCGAGGTAATCCTCATAAGATGCAAATATGCCAATAAAAAACTGATCAATTACTGTTTTAAATATCAGTAAGTATATCCAAACAATCAATACAAATCAGAATGGGTTTTGTGGAGATTTTAGAAATTTCACAGATAAATATGTTATAATGGTTATTATTATTGTTACTATTATTATTATTATTGAAACAATCCACACAGAATGAACATAGATCCTGATTATGACTAACCAAATATCAACAACAGGATAATTCAAACCATTGCAAATTAGATTGAAATTTGATTATCTTTTTTCTATTCTGAAATACTAATGAGTTCTGTTAGAAAAATGATTCGAAAAAGTGAATTTAAATGTTCACAAATTTTTTTATTTACTTTGGAAATCAATACAGTAATGGAATAAGAAACTGATAAGTCATTTGTTATAACGATAGGTTTTCCATGTTTACACGTATGGGACGTTAATTTACCTTAGACGAATATCTACACTAGATTCCCTGCCGGTGTCTATTCTATACGACTTCAACACTACTCAGATCAAGAACACGTGATTAGCCTGACTAGAACATAAATATAGTTCCACATCAAAACCCGACACAATACAACAACAATGAACAATCAATAATCAATGATAACTCATCTGACATCTATCAGACTATCTACATGTCTGACTAAGCAAACAACCTATCATTATCATTTTCGTCCACCCATCATCATTACAAACATTTGTTGGATGAAGGATTATTATCATTAACACAACCGATAATATCCTAAATTAATTTAATTATCAATTACAAGTTTTGTGAAGTAATTATAAACAATAATTACTATAGTGTATATTATCAAACTTTACAAATTATTTCTAGGAATGAAGGGAATATTTAACAGATGATAAAATATATTCAAGCGCAAATGAATTCTTTTTAATTGTGGATACGTTCGTTTTATTTTATAAAAAATATCAACAATCCCCATTGTGTACCACCAGGTTTTGCCTTAATACACAGTAATATATATGAGAAATATTAACTCAGTGAAAACGATTTGTATGTCAATGATAATAATGGTCAATCTGCAAATGTTACATGTTCAACATGAATCTGAAAACAGTTTGTCAATCCGAAAGTTTCCATGTGAATTATCAATTTTCATCGTTACAAGATTTACTGTGAAACGATTTCTACACATTAGATTGTAAATATTGTTCACTGAAAAGATGGGACTGTAAAACTGTGGTTCATATGGTAGTGAGGACATGCCTGAGTCTCTTCAGTGCACAACTAAACGTTTATCGCTGCGATTAAATTGTTGAAAGTGGAGTGTTCCGACCAACATAACACTTCCACTAACAACTTATAGATACACACAAAAAGAGAAACAGAGTGATTGACAGTCAGACTCAGAAGTTTTATCTAGGTACTGATCAGTATGTGTAGTACCTAGAAGTAATTTAGGTGGATGATGATAGTAAGTAGAAAACCCTCCTCAACCCACGTTTCTTGGAAGTTGGAACTCGTCAGTAAGGTGTATCTGGGGAAACTGATTTAGAACCTGAGTCAATCAGCTCCATAGTCTGAGACATCACTACTAAGCTATTTAGACCGTGACTACCTGTAGGAAAGAAACATTTGAAAATTAATTTATCACTGAGTAGTAGTGACTGTCATATTTTTCTAGTCCTTTGGTGCTGATCAAATTCGATGAGTCAAGTTCTTTTTTGGCTAATAGTCCTAAAGCACTGGACAAAAATTACTTTGATCACTATCTAATAACTAAACTGATTGAAAACTTAATTTAGATTATTCTTATCTTCTTAAGAGATAAACAATTTCCATGTACTTACGATCTACCGGTTTACCAGCAGGCAATTCACCATCTTTTAATTCTTCTGACTGTGGTTTGTAATTTCGAAATATCGGTTTGGGTAATTCTCCATTATCGCTATTGTTTAAGTGTATAATACTTTTATGTGATGCATTTTTCATACGTAATTGCTTTAGACGTTCTTTACGCCTTAAGGCTTCATCACGCATATGTCCTATGGATTGATCTGTTTCATTATTATCATGATTATCACTAGTCTTGTTTTCTTTATTTTCTGACAAAACTAATTCATCACTTCCATGTTCTGGTTCTTGATCAATATTGTCAAGTGTAGTCATCTAGTCTGAAATATTAACACAGCGAAAGTTTGATTAAAGATGCTACCAATCAAATTTAAAAACGATAATTTTAATGAAATAACAGAATGTTTGAAATGGTTAGCAGCAAGTTTGAGTTCCCTGAATGAAGAACACTTTAACAGTGATTGGAATCCTAGAAAGTTTATCGAAATTCCAATTATGCAAAAAAACAACTAATAATTATAAAGATATGGAGAAAACACTGCAGAAGCTCAACTATCGACTAGTCTATGTGATGACTACAAACCTTTTGGTTTATAGGCAGTTAGGATGTATATACATGGCACACAATTTTCGGCAGTCGCTGAAAAACTGAAGTGAATTTGGTTTTTTTCTTGTGGTAAAACACTAACTAAATATTAATCATCCCTATAGCAGCTGTTATCATGATGTGGTGGTTGGACTTGGATATTTTGATGACCTGGTTGAGTTATAATGGCTGAAATATTAGTTCTCTTAGGTTCTACCATGTTAGGCGATTTGGTTAGGGAATGACCAGACTAAAAACAGTAACTTAAGGTCTGAAGGAAGGGTCATACTGCTAGCTATAATAAAGAGTACTTACCGAAGACCAAAACCCATCCCTTGAAATGTTTCAACCCAAGTTAACTCATGAAATTTACATGATCATTCGAACCTATGTTGATGAAAATTTCCGAACTAGACAGAATGTAACGGAATCAACCAACTATTATCATCATACCAAGAAAAAATTATTTGTTTACAATAATTAAAACAAATCTATGGATTTTAATCAATTTTACTGGATTTTTTCTACAAACGGTGTGCGAATGAAATAAAAGTTTGACCGGAAATGAGAAGTCCAATTGGAATAATTGGAACAAGAAGATTGATAAATAAATACACACACACAAAGTAGACGAAATGATTAATATATACTGAAAGGAGACAGAATTCCTCGCTGTTGTGACGTCGTTCTCATTCTCGAATAATATTCATAATAAGAATGAAGCTAATTTGGCTTAGAATAACAGAAACAAAAACTAATTAAAGCTGTTTGATTATCCTAATCTTTTAAGACTATTATTACAAGCTGAGCAACAAAAAGAGAAATCAAGATGTCTGTAGAAGAAAACACAAAGAAGGAGGAAGGCACGACAAAATAAATAGAGAATATTGAGGAGAAAAACACATAAATTTCAAGCATTATCATTAACAATAATGATAACACTATTTACACAAACTACTTGTAGTGATTTTGAAGTAGTATGTCAAAAACAAATAATAATAATATTTTTGAAGTTTTTTTCACTACTGAAAATAGAATCATAGGATGATTGGAAAACAGTCAAAAAAAGACATCACATCAAATGAAGACAAAATAAAACATACATAACACCAAAAAATATCATACTAAGAGAAATGAAGGAATTTCACCGGGATACATAAAAATATATATATATGTACATAAGAATACATCAGCGAACTGAAAGAAGCAGGATTGAAAACTGAATGAAAATAAACTGACGTTTAATCTCTTTAATGTTTAGAAAGACCAGCACTGGATATAAATCAATCCAGTGTAAATGGTTGTAGGCGTGTTACTGTTGAATTATTTTCATATTGACAATGATCATTTAATAAAATATGTGTGCTGTAAATGATGCCATTATTAATACTACTAGTAGTAAACAACAGATCTGAGGCTAAATATTTACATGTTTCATAATGTCCGGTGGGAAGGAGTAAAGAATAAGAGATAGGAGGAGGGGAAGCAAATTTATACATTTTTTTATATAGAAAAGATTTAGTTTCATCGATTCTTTAAAATGTAACGAGTAAAATTAGCTTAAGTTGCTTGTAAATTAAGAAAAACCACAAAGAAAAGTACACCAAAAAGGACAATATAGAAAAACATGTATACAAAAAAAAGGGCGCTTAAAAATCACACGCGATTATTTATAATTAAAAGCCGACAAAGATGTCCATTGAACATATACACACATACATAGTACAGAAAAATATTCAACAAGAAGAAAGAGAAGACAGAAAAAAAAACCGCTTAAAAAATTTGTTTACATACACTTTTTTTAAAATGTAACCATAAGTACAATATAAATAATAAGGAGGCTGATGATCATTTCATATTAGTAATAGAAGATAATAACTTTTGATATTCTGTTGATTGCTCTTCGTTAACTATTGTTTTACTTTGTTGATTTGGTTGAGTTGGTTTTAAATATTCTGTACTATCACACTGTATTTGATCTTCTGTTCGATTTAATATATCATTAAAGCATAATGTTTGATTTTTTCTTTTACATTGTAATATTTCACTATTGATCTTATTAGATCTATGATCTGTAAGTGTAGAGAAATTAATATTCATAGAATAGGGTAGACAAATTGTCGGTGGACATCCAGTACTACCACGAGTTAGTATAGTATTACTCTTATCATTATTACCATTATTATTGTTATCAGTAATAGTAGTAGTAGTAGTACTTAGAACATCTGAGCAATTGTAGACACCAATATCCTCCTTCCTAGAATAATTCATTAAAGATGTAGTAGTATATCTACCATTGCATAAATCTTTAGAAACGTCCATCAATGTGGTCGTAGTAACAGTAGCAATAGTAGTAGTACTGGTAGTAATACATGGAGAATAGTAACAGTAGTAGTATGGTGGTGGTGGATTACAATCTGTTTTCTGACTGTTAGTAAGATAATTACTCATCACTGTGTTATTATTATCCTTCTCGTTAATGCCATTACTATCATTATTATTACTGTTATTAATATAGCTATCATTGTATTGTTGATTAATAACAGATAGACGGAGCAATGTAGTCAAACGTTTAGTTACACAACCAGCTGAAAGACGTGCTTCTGCATCTTGGTCCCAGCATTCTTCAATTGTTTCCCACAATGTACATAAACCCTAAAAGAATGTAACAAAAAGGAGTAAATAGACAAACTGAGAGCTTTGTACTCTTCTAATTTTTTCTTTAAAAAAAGACTATAGTGTTAAGTAAATGAATGAAATAACGACATTGAATTTTAGTCTACTTGTGGATGAGATCTCGATGTGATTGGTTGGCGTTAATATATTAATTTGCCAACCTTGTCAATGTATATTGACTGAAGACTTTTTGATGTCTTTCGAACCCAAGAAATAAGACCATAAGGTGATAAAACTAAAAATCAAGTAGTGTTGACCAATATGAAATGTACCGTTGTTTGCATAAACGTGTTTCAGCACTTTTCATGATCATTCAGTCTTACTCTTGGTTGAAGGAAAAAGTAAATAATAAACTTTGAACTTAAGGAGTTTCATTGCCAACAATGAAATTGGTGAGATTAATGGATCTAACATTAAAGATTGAAATCAATATGATGAATGTTACTTTATTAGAAATTTCATTTCAATCAGTTGAACTGTCTGATATGAATGTTAAACACTAAGTAGTGGAGGTAATTATTCCGGAATGACGAGACACGAATGTAGTGGAAAATCGTAATTTGAAAAAGAATTTCGAATATACTGTACTCATCTGCTAAAAATGAATGGAAACAATGACCGGAAATTCTAGATACAGTCAATTCATTGGACATTTAAAAAAATTGTAGACCATTGAATGATTTATATGTTTAAAGAAAGAGAAAAATAATTTTGGTAGATATTTTGATTGGTATTATATAAATATGATCATTAACCAAATAGGGGCTTGTAATATATATTGATTTCTGAGTTACACTTCAGTTGTATGACAATTTAATGATTCTTTGTCTATCTCATCTGAAATAGGCGAAGCGGGATGTAAATCTAAAAGCCACCAGCTGAGATCTGAATACTTCAACAAATTAAGTCACTGTTTCACCTTAATAAGTAGATATGTAGAATGTAAGGAATACCTGGAAAAGTATCAATCTTTATGAAGCATGAATTAACTGACAGATTACTTACTTAATTTACGCTTTCGACTTATTACAGTAATAGGATATTTAACACTAATGATATGTTCACTCACTCTACGCTATAATACATAAAATTATATTTCTAAGTACTACTGATTAAAATTTTACCAAAGTATTTGATGACGCCAAAATGAGATAGATATCACTACAAAATAAAATCAATGGTTTAGTGAATTTCTTCTTTTTTTTCGTAAATAATTCTCTAATTGGTGTCAGGTTGTCATTTAGAAAAAATTTAAAAACTGGTGAACAAACATAAAAGCATAGAAATTCGCCGACTAAGATAGTTCAAAAACAATTTCAATATTTTACAATGTATACAACCTAAATTCATTTAGATTTGTTTAAAGTTGGAATATATATCACAAGAAATTATGTCTATGAAATCAAAACACATGTAAATTGTGTATAATACTCAGATAGATGAAGCTGTTATAAATTGATGCCTAGTATTGTAATAATGAACATCATAACTGATGGTTGAAGTCAGCCAATAACATGGAACCTGTCATATATGTGCATCGGTCAAAGTTGCCAAAAAATATCTGCCGATAGATGAAAATATTAGAACAAATATCAGAGTAGTAGGAATTAGAAACAGTATCAGTGGTAGTAGAAGACATTAGGCATAAACAATACGAATTCGTGAAATAAAAAGTGGAAGAAAATTTTAAAACTTAAAACTTAAGGGAAGGACAAAGATTGAATGTATCTGCGCGATTACGAATGATTCTGAGCCATTTCATTCGATTTTTCCAATTCCTTATCCTGTTTATTTCAGTAACTAAGTGTAAGCAGGGTAAATGAGGTATTGTGAAAGTTATTAAAGAGGGAAATTCAACCAGTCATTTGATTTTTCAAAAGAAATCGCGTTGCATATCAAAATTAATGCTCTACCTAACACCAAGCATTTTATGTGCATCGTAATATATATATATATATATATATATATATATATATATATATATATATGGGGCACCTCAAAAGTGCCCATTTACGACCCCGCAACATGGAATCCAAATCAGGGGGTCCGGTTTCGTGTGTGAACAATTAACCTCTAAACCACTTGCCATCATCCACCGGTGCTAGTGTTTAACTTCAATCTATTCAAAATAGTGCGCGACTATCTTTCAATGCCCAATGTGGACAGCTGTTTTACACCCGACATGGTTGAACTCCACCTGTCAACGCTTTTCATTAGGACTCCAGGAATCGCACATGGAAGCTAGTCACTATACGGTTTTGTGGTAATCATATGCCCACTACTGACTAACTTCAAGATGCAGTAACTAGAGTTCTAATGGGATGCCGTGACAAACGGAGTTTAACCATGTCGAGTACAAAACCGTTATTCACCTCGGGCAGTGGGAAAATGGTCGCAAAATGTTGTGACTTGAATGAGGTTAAGAGTTAACACTATTGGGTCGCAGCTCAGTAGAGGTTGAGTGTATACTCGTGAGACCAGAGGTTCTGTGTTTGATTCCTTGATTTGAGGTCATGGATGTACAATGCTGAGGAGTCCCATACTAGGACAAAGTGATCGCTTAGTGCGTCCAAGTTCTCAATGATCATCTAAATAAGATCAGCTCGTGATTTAAACTCTATGTGAATTCTATGATCACCATAAAACTCCGTACTGATAATTCTGAATTTAATAGTTGAATTCATGAGTCAATTAAATTTAGATCATCATGGAAAACCTGGAAGCACTGGACGACCGTTTCGTCCTAGTATGGAACTCTTCAGCAGTACGCATCAACAGGACTTATCGACCTGACGCGCGTACGCTTAACCTGAGTTGACATCCAATGGTGTTAATGACTAACTTCAACAAATCCACTCAATCCTCTACAAAACCCCTTCAGATAATTATGAATTTGTATATTATAAATATAAACGATATATTTGCCTTGGTCTTGGCTTTCTCCTTTGAATCACTCATTCGGACACATGACTATAAAAATTGATGAAACGTTACTAAAAAGAACGCTATTTGATCAAATATTTATTTTAATATGATGGAAATTTTTAATCATACAAATAATATTTTATGCATTTCTATGCTAAGATTTTACCATTTAAAATTATAACTTATCAAAGTACATGAAAAAAAAGGATAAAGGTCAATAACAAAAAAGAGGAATTATCACCTCTTTGTATAATACATTCAATTGTATAGTGAAATTTGATACTATGAATTATAGGTTAACACAACTTACATGAATGATAATAGTACAAATTACGACAATTACTAATACAACTACTACAAAAGCATGTATTACAAAAAAAAAACGAATAATAATAATGAACATTCATCAACTTTGAATACATTTATCAAATAAACAAAAGAAAAACTATGGATTCGTGAATGCAATTCATAAAAATTTTACTCGAAAAGCTCCCCAATCCACCCTTCCTCATAGTTGGACAGGAAAAAAATGCAAATGGGTGGAACATTTTATTTTGTTAAACGTCACCAGAAGCATGATATTCTAATCTGAAGCTTTTTAAACTTATCCGGATTTCGAATAGTATAGTTATTTGTATAATCTCAAATGATGTACGACTAGTACAAAGATGTAACAACTAAGTGTAGAAACATCAGTGTTAATCCCTGTGTGTGTGTGACTAATTCAATGATTGAAGAGGTTCCTCCGTCATAAGTGAATTTTAGCGCTCTTAAACCTTCAAATTATTGATCTCCAGGCAATTCGCTTCTAAACATATGGTGGTACGTTCGAATTCCACTACGCTACATGCATATAATTGACTACCACAAATTATTTTATATCACAGACTGATATTTGGTAAGATAACCATTGAAAATCAGAAGCCATGACCAGTGATGATTGTCAGTCGTATTAGACACGAGACCTGGAGGTCTTAGGTTCGACTACTAGTACAGTAGTGGATGTACACTAATAAAGAATCCCACACTATGATGAAACAGTTATTCAATGCTCCCTGATTTCCAAAGGCCTCCAAACCAAAGTCGGTATTTAATGCGAAATTCTAAATTCAATACTCTCCACAATACCCTGCAAAAGATATTATATATTAGTCTACAAGTTGTAGAATTCGTTGACTTTTCGTTTGTTTGGTGCTTAGATTATTAAAATCGTGGTACTTAGCAGTGTTATGCAACCTAAAGTATTAAAAAAATAAGCTTCTGCCCACTGTGTTAATGTATTCTTACATATATTCAGCCATAGCTAAGTTCACTGCTCCAGCGTGAATATATATATATATATATATATATATATATATATATATATATATATATATATATATATATATATATGAAAAATACTTTCTCATAAATTCTCACTAGACTCTACAATTAGAGCTTATAACAAGTCTTAATCAAAAAGAAATAGCCATATTCAAGACAAATACTTTTTTTATAACTGCAAGAAATACATTTAGGATGCTTTACGATACATAAAACGCCTCAAGGGGATATTTTATTAATCTTCTATTGATAATGAAATGAATGGTACACACAAAATTATATCTTTTTAAGAAAAAGAGAACCAAATCTATTCAGAGTTTGTTGATACTCCAACTGAATTGAACTAGGGTAAATGAGAATAACTAGTTTATTTGTTGTTGCGCTAACGAAATATGCATACGATCAAAATTTAATCTGTCATTGAAATGTACTTGGATGGGATTGTTATATTGGACAAAATTATAAAAGCATTATTTAAATTTATGGTTTACATCAAGAACTAACTTCAACTAGTCAGTCAGTTACAGTCAAGATATAACTTAGTGAAAATTATGCATGAGATCAAGTTACTACACCATATTAGAACAGAGAAGTAATTGTAACTAGACAACCGCTGAGATTTGAAAACCACTGTAAAACTATCCTCCTTATGAACTCGACTGAAGGTCTATAACGATAATAGAGAACTAGAGGAAGCGTATAACGATGATGAAGGTTCATTCTTCGAATCCGGACAATTTGTTTAACCAGCAAATACCAACTTCGTCGCTTGAATGCTATTTATCATAGAACCTAGTAGTCCTATCATTAATTCCATAAATTAAAATCTTTAGCCGAACCCTAACTAATAAGTTTGAATTTCTTAACTACCCGAAACGATGTCATGTTTTGATTGGCTATTAATTTTTTCTTCAATCTTCTCTTAAACTAACTAGCATATTAAATCAGTATAAACATGTGATCAGGGTACATTGATTTGCTAGTAACGCTAAGATTCAGCAACTTGTATTCAGTTACAACGGCGACAACTGAATTAATTTTACCACCTTGAAAGGCCGAATTTGATCGTTTAGATATCTTATACGAAAATCTTCCCAACGGCTCCTACAACATGTACTAATTAACGACTCTCGGACTGTGTGAAATAAGCAGATAAATGGTCAGTTAATGATATAGTGTTATGACATGAAAAAAAGTTGTATAGGACTGGTATTTATCGGTCCCTCACGACTCCCTTGACTGAAGTCTTAGAGACAGTACAATTCAGTGACTTGAGACTTTAGCAGACATGGTCTAAAATAAAAGCCAGTTGAGACTGTGCTATTTTTCTTAAATTCCCCATAAAATGAAATGAACTCCCTTAAAAAAAGCCTTTTTTGGTTGTATTGTTAACTGAACTATGATATTACATTATACATCATTTTTGTTCACATATTTGCTTTCTCGCTTAGATCATATCCTCGTTCCTTCTGTTTTTCTAATCCTTAATGATGTCTCTTTACTTTGTGTAGCGCAGTCTATTTTTAATGACCCGTTGTTTCAGATTTTAAGTGTATTAAATAAAACATAGATCGAGTAACATATTACGTTAGTGTAAACGGGTAACCAGAATGCTTTGATTTGCAAAATAGTATGACTTACCGGTGTCTGGAGAAAAATGATCTGTCTGTTCCAGTTTATTTAGAACTTCTATTCTGCTTCTTATTAGGTGTTAATAATTATTATCTTGTGAAAAATATTTAATTTTACAACATAGAAATATATATATGCATTTTCTTAATAAATCTTGTTAACAAAGAAAAATTGAAAGGAAATCATATACACTCACCCCATCTGATGCCCATTGTGGATTAAATTTAGGTCGTTGTTTAGCATGTGCTACCCATCGTTGTAATGCTTCCATTGATGGTTGTGGACCTAATTCTATTTCATATGGTGCTAAATAACTAGTAATATGAATTGTTGCATTTTTACTAGAACCACAACAACATCTCATCATTAATTCCCAAAACACTAAACCCATTGCATAAATATCGATACGAAGAAATGCATCCTTTGAAAACTGAATAGCGCCATCTAACACTTCAGGCGCCATATACCGACGAGTACCCAACTATGACAGAAAGAAATTCAATAATTAGATCAGCAGTATAAAAGAAAATGGAATTCTATGATTGACCATCTACAATACTACAGCATTAGATTGATAAATATACCTACTAAATGACTGATAAATGCAATACTATTCAGTTATACAGATCAAAGGTCAAATAATGGTATATTGTACATCCTTACTAATCAATAATCGAGTAAACCCTAAATCATAAAGTCACACATTTGAAGATTTCCTAAAGCTATTAGATATATTTGACGGTAATAAAGTATTGACAAAGTAGGGAGTGGTTGAAACGCTTGATTTATAGCTACTAAACGTCAGATTTGAACTCCACTCTACATACTCCGGTTAGGGTAACCGAGCAATAACACCATCCTCCATACTTTAAGTGTGCCTTGAAGTCAAGAACACGATTTTGTCCTTGGTAAGAAGTTAGTAATAATGAGTTAACGGTCAAAGCAAAGGAAACTGATATAAGACAGACTACCTCTATCGACCGAGCTATAAAACTCGACTTCCACTTCATTGCAATTTGAATTCAACTACTTTATCACAATTTGTTTTCACCAAGATTCTCCATCTTTCGTTTCAATAGGTCGAAATTGGATGAAGAAGCTCATGAGTTTGTAATAGTTTGCCAACGAATCCAGTCTCAAATAGTTCATATTTTTTCCCATTATTATATAGATAGAAGGGAGCTCAGTGATGCCCTTATCTGTAGTGAGACATATTTCTCACTTAAAGAATGTTCATGTTCAGTTTATAAGCTAAATCTCTATAGTTTGACAAATTGGATGCAATTAAACAAAACATTTGATCAGCTGAATGTGATTAGAAATGAGTCAAACAATGATTATGCATATTAATTACGGTTACTGAGTTTCATACTCACAAACGATAATATTTAGCAAGACACAATACCACAAATCTTGAATAAGTTAAATGCTTGGCGGAAATAATTAGAAAGCTTTGAACCTAGGTTGTGTGGTATCTGGCACTCTTCAGTAAGACATATCTGTAATCACCAAGGGACTGGTGCTCTCCGATAATGGACGTCGGTCTCCTCAAGACTACAAGTACGCCTCGCCCACAAGTTCCAACTAACACGAAACCTCGGTTCAAGGTTTCCCTCTGCCAATTACTTCGACAAAAAACAACAACAGTGCATACTTCAGATAATTGAAATAACCTATTGTGTTACTGAATAAAAATGAAGAGAATTCGGAGAAAATTTTCTTTTCGACGAAATCATTTACTGAAGCTGTACATTCGTATTTATCAAATGATAATAAGAGTCTTGAATATATTTATGATGCGATCTTTTTTATCCTTATATAGACATACTTACCATACAACTAAAAAAATACGAATATAAAACAAGTGATTTCGTCGATAAGAAAATTTTTTTCGCTGAATTCTCTTTATTTTTATTCAACAGCGCACATGTTATCAAGTTATTTAAACTAGTGGCCGCATTCCAACTCGACTGATAGAATTCGATCAGTCAGTATAAATTTCAAATAAATTATTCAGGTACCTCACTTGTTACATCATAATTTTAGAGTTGTGATAATATGTTATAGAGTTTCATTTAAATATATGAGATAATTAACAACAATACACTGGAAAAAAAATTTACCAACCTGTAAATGTGCATCTCTCATACACTGGCCAGCCTCAAAACGAATTGCCAAACCGAAGTCAGCAATACAAGCAGTAAGATCAGACTTTAATAGCACATTGCGAGAATTTAAATCACGATGAGCTATACTAGGTTTTGAAAGATTTGGAATTTCCATATGTAGATGAGCTAAACCTTGAGCAATACCAGTACAAATTTTTAATAAATCTATCCATTGTATATCATATGCATGAAGATAGTCATATACGCTGCCTAATGGATGATATTCTGTTACTAACCAATACTCTAGTTTATCTTCGCCAATAGAATTATCGACAATGACCTACGTATAGAAGGTTTAAAAACCACAGATGAATACAAATTATATACGAAATTAGTGAAATAACCAAACAACTGAATATACAGTTAAACAAGATATACTAAATTTATCTTAATGTATTCAACTAAAAACCAGTACAAGATGTGTGATGATTCTTGTATCCAAACCTCTGAACTTTGTAGTGAATACATATAAAATACCGATAAAGTTCAATGAACCAGTACATTTATGTACTCAAGTTATAATTGAAACTACATTCCAAGGACTAAACAAATACAGTTTGGCTCTTAAAATCCAACTTACTGTAGTGATATTCGAACATTTGATGTCGTATATTTGCATAACAAGTGGCCCAAACATCTCAGTCGATGTAGGTTCACAACCTCATCAACTGATTTACGATTATTCCCTAAGACCATGCGTCTGACCTCACTTTTTATTCACCCGGTGATCCCAGCAGATGCGAGCAATATTTCTAAGACATCTGTAATCAAATACTAGTAACTTACGAGTATCCTCTACCATTAATGGTCACGTTTCGCAGCCGTAAAGTAAAACAGAACGAACTGCTGTGCGGTATATTGGTTATTTATTTGAACACATAAATATTGGTACAAAGAGGCACCGAATATATATGCGCCACATGATTTGTATGTATACTGGTCCCTTAGTTGAGACGGATATCTCGCCTTCGCTATAAGTGACGTAAGTTGGCAAAAGCCAAACGAGCTTTTTGAATCCGGGTAGAGATTCAGTCAGACATCAACCCATTAGGGCTGATCAGACTTCCGAGATAAGTGAAGTTGTTGACGCCTTCGACTACTTCACTCCTTATCGATGGATCTTGCGATTATTGAGAAAAGAGCTGTCTTACGACTACTTCAGCACCTCAAACAAGATAAGTCTAGTGGTTTTGACGATATTCAACCTGAGATTATGAAAGCACCGAGGATATAATTACTGAAAATCTGGCAATACTCTTTGATAGGTAATTGAGGCAGTTTAAACCCCCAATAGACTGAAATGACACAATTATTAGTCTGATTTACAAAACGGGAAGTAGGCTTAGTTAGTAAACATAGACCAGTTAGTCTAATCAGTGAAGTCAAACTAATGGAAAATATTATTCTGATGGCTATTATAAACTACATCGCAGAGAATAATCTTTTATCCAGGAAACATGGTTTTAGGGAAGGCCTATCATGCTTGACAAACCTGCCCACTGCAAGAGAAGATTGAGGTACAGAAAAAGAAAGAAATATTCCGGTAGATGCAATTTTCGTACATCTAAGTAAAGCCTTTGACAAGGTCTCTCACCTAAGTCTTAAATTAAAACTGATAAGTTTTGGGATCCATTATGAAATCATAAACTGGATAAGTGACTTTCTGAATGGCAGGAGGCAATGAGTACGAACAAATGGGGCTCTATTAACGTGGGAATCCGTAAAAAGTGGAAGTCCACAAGTTAAAATCCTCGGTCCCCTTCTTTTCTACTTTATGTGCATGACTTACCAACTGTAGCGAAGTCGCCTATTCCACTCTTTGCAGATAACAAAGAGTTAGAGATCCATACACAGTGTGTCAGATAGAATAATAATACAGGATGACCTGAATTCACTAGTTGAACGGATGGGCAGGTGGCCTCTAGAATTTAACTCTAACAAGAGTGTGGTGATGCAAATAAATAACTGTAACGATTCATATCACTACACAATATGTGGAGTTGTGTTACCTAAAGTAACGAACTCAAAACTACGAGTAACAACACGACTTTCGTTGCCAAAGGCTTCAAGGTCTGATGGACTATTCGTAAGTCATTTCATTACTTGGACGAAGAAATGTTTAAGGTATTATACCCGACTGTTTGTGAGGCAGGATTTGAAATATGTAATTCAAGCAGTAGGTCCTTGTTTTAAGTATGAGACGGATGTGCTAGAATAAGTTCGACGGCGAAAGACTAAAATAGCGAAAAGTCTCTCTGGCCTTTCCTATAAAAACAAACTGAGACACCTTGACTTATCCACCCCGAATTCCCTGGTACTGCCGAGAGTGGGGAGAGTCAGCTCTCTCTCTCTCGAAATGCCCTCACATCACAGCCACTACCAGGGAAGTCTTACTCACTACCCTCTCACGGTGGGAGTGTTGTTTACGAAATTGAAAGGACGAAAAGCGAATGCCTGGCACTTTAACCGGGTTGGTCAATACGGGAGATCCACCTAGGGGATTTGGAAAACCCTGATTCCGAACCAATGGTGCACATGGGCTCCAGTACCCTGAAGGAACAAGTGGCATATGAACCTGCTGTTTGGTCACCAGTTATTAAGGGACTGCATTCCCTCACGTTGCTCCACTGCCCTGTGGATTAGACCTTTAGGTCAAATGCTCGGGTGTGGCCTCCTAAGGAAACCACCTGTTTCGGTTTGGGCAACCGGGCAGTATCCCAGCCCTTGCACAACAAATCAATGATAACTACTGCTGGCCTCACTGTTATTGTGTGGCACATATGTATTTGGTTCCCCCATGTACCAATGTTTATGTGTTCAAATAAATAAATATACATAAACACATATTGATGCAGATTGCATTGAATTATTCGGTAATAAAAAGCGCCCTTAATTTAAAATATCTATTCATGTAATGATAGGAGCTATATATACGGTAATTACATCGTGTGATTTTAAGAGAATTTGAAAGCTCTATAATACGACCTAGCATAGCCAAAATTTCGTTTTGGTAAACTTCAAAATGATACTATTCAGAAATAGCAGAGTAATGATTTCATTCAGTCATTCGAAAACTTTAAGTTGACTTAACATTTCGATATAAGTCGAAGTTAACTCAAATATTTCTTTTTGAAGATCGAAAAATATCTCACCAAAATCCCTTAACACTAACCGTTTTAGATGTTCTATACGAAGCAGTTAGTTTTTAGGCATATATAATAGCCGCCTAATGAGACAAGTAAAGGGATACTGAAAATGACATCAGACAATGGCGGTGTAGTAAATGAACTGCAAATGAGACCTAAGTGCCGTAGATGACTTGATATTAGTATAGAGCTATCCTGCGGGAACAAATGGCGTATGAACCAAACGTTGGTCACCGGCTACCATAGGACTGCATCTCCTCACGATGCTCCACTGCCTTGTGGGTTAGACCTTTAGGTCAAAGGTTCGGGGTGCGGCCCCCTAAAAAAACCACCTGCTTTGGTCTGGACACCCGGGCAGTATCATACGCCCACACAGAAATATGATGAAATGTCGATATTTATGGAGAATAATTGTCTTGCTTCGATCAACAATCAAACGATTCACATTATTATTATTATTATTATTATTATTATTATTATTATTATTATTATTATTCACTACGTCATTTACTCACTCTCTTTTATTCCCACTCTGTCTATCCTTACTTTTCGACTTATACAGCAGCTCACCTATGGAGCAAACTCGGTTCTATCTAAACGTTCTCGAGTCACTGTCCGGTTGAAAATTGTATGCTACCACCAAATACGAATACTGAAGCAGTTTTTATGAAACCACGTGCACCATTCGAACTGCCCGCCTTCAACGTTCGCACACTTATGCAGGTTGGAAAACAGGGCTGGCTATGTCTTTGGAAAGTCTTAGTATCGACGTTAGTTGTCTGTCCGAGACCCATATTCAAGACTCTAATGAAGTACTACAAATTCGCTCTCCATCTGTTGCTTCAAAAATCTTGTTTTATGTGCGTTTATCCAAAGACCCTGTGGCATCTTCGTCTGGTCTTGCAGGCGTTGGTATCGCACTAAGCACTAGAGCTGAGGCAGCACTAATTGATTGGATCCCCATTAACAGTCGGCTATGTGATGTTAGATTAGAGAGTTCCATCAAAGTTAGAAGAAATCAGCGTGAGAAACGATGTCTCTTCGTCATCTCCGTCTATGCCCAAGCAGATTGCAGTCCGGATGCAATCAAGGATGAATTCTACCATCAGTTAACTGTTCTTCCCCAGAAAGTGAGTTCGACAGATATTGTAGTACTAGCCGGAGACTTGAATGCTCAGGTCGGGCGTATAGGTACAGAAGAGAGTCGTTTAGGTGGCCGATGGGGACTTGTTGGTCACAGGACAGATAACGGGATCGTCTATTGCCACTGTGCACAGACCACAACCCGTATCTGCTTAGCACTAGCTTTTGGCACAGTCATCACCGACGTGCCACCTGACGTCTTCCCTCTGGTTCTCAAGCCCGGATTCAGATTAATCACATCGCGATCAGCTACCGCTGGCGTGGTTGTGTACAAGACTGCCGCTCCTTTTGGGGTACCGATCTGGACTCTGATCATGCCGTGGTCTGCGCCAATCTTGCCTTACTTTCAGTGGCCAACGAAGTGACCGCCACCAAAGGATTGATGTCAGCAAGTTGATTGTAACTTCTGTTGCTAGTAAGTATCGAACCGAGCTAGCTTCTAGGCTATCTACCATTCCACCGAAAAGTATAGATGAGCATTGGTTGCAACTTCATGACGCCATCAAAATGGCGAGTATAGCCACTTGCGGCTTCACGAGACGTCCCGCTTATAAGCACTGGGTTTCTTCTGGTTCCTTACAACTCATTGAAGCCCGTCGGTCTACTCCGGGTGACCGTGAGTTTGACCACAAACGACGACTGTTACGTAATGAAATCGGGAAAAGCTTGCGTAAGGACCGAGAAGCCTGGTGGTCGGAGCGTGCTAATGAGCTGGAAGCAGCAGCTGCATCTTACTATTATCATTTGAACACATGAATATTGGTACAAGAGAGCGCCAAAATATATGCACCACACAGCAGCTGCATCTGGTAATTACCGGAAGCTCTTCCAACTCATCCGAGCCACTGGCAGCAAGAAGTCTGGTGTGAGCGAAACAATCTGTGAAGATGACGGGATGCCAATCACCAACATGCATCGACGTCTCGGACGATGGGCAGAATTCTTCGAAGGGAAGTTCGACTGGCCTGCTGCTCCGGCAACATCGGTCGGCCTGTCCTGCCTCCATGGCCGGTGACGACTGATCCACCAAATGAGGCGAAAGTCCGTTAAGAACTCCAACTCTTGAAACGCTACAAATCACCAGGCCCAAACGACTTACCTCCGGCCCATATTAAAGATGATGGTGACTTTCTGACTAAGGAACTAACGACGATGATTACAAAGATCTGGAGGCTAGAGATTGTACCCACATCATGGAATGAGTCGATAGATGTCCCTACATTTAAAAAGGGTTCACATCGTTCCTGTAACAACTATCGGGGGATAAGTCTACCTCCGATTGCGTCCAAGCTATTGGCTTCCGTCATACTTCGTAGGTTGTTCAAAACCCGAGAAAGATTGACTCACGAGGAGCAGGCTGGTCTTCGTTCTGATCATATCTTCACCCCCCGCCAAATGTTAGAACACCGCCATACTTATCAAAGGCCAACAATCGTAGTGTTTCTTGACATCAGGGCTGCCTTCGATTCGTTGGATAGGACTGTTCTCTTGGATTGTCTATTGAAGAAGGGTGTGCCTGAGAAGTTTATTAACATCCTAAAAGCCCTATATACAAACACCTCAGGCAGAGTGAGGGCATACAACCACCTCTCTCCATTGTTCTGTTTGAGCAGTGTGGTTATACAGGGTTGCCCAATCTCACCATTCCTCTTCAACTTTGCCGTCGACGACATTCTGGAAACAGCTCTGATGGATGTAAGTAATGGCGGTGTGGATCTGTTGCCTGGAGAAAGACTTCTCGACCTTGAGTATGCGGATGATTTTGTCTTACTGTGCGATTATGCTCAAGCCATGCAATCCGCACTTAATCAGTTGGCAATCAGTGTCTGTAGGTATGGTATGTGTTTTGCACCTTCGAAGTGCAAAGTACTTCTACAAGACTGGCAGGATTCCAATCCTGTACTCACCCTGGATGGTGAGCAGATAGAAGTAGTCGAAAAGTTCGTGTATCTAGGTAGCTGCATAAGTGCTGGTGGTGGTGTGAGTGATGAGATCAATGCACGTATAATGAAAGCCAGAGCGGCTTATACCAATCTGGACCATATTTGGCGGCTTCGTGATGTTAGTCTGGCTCTAAAAGGTCGGATCTACAACGCGTCGGTGAGAGCAGTTTTGCTCTATGCTTGTGAAACCTGGCCTCTCCGAGTTGAGGATGTTAAACGACTCTCTGTGTCTGATCATCGTTGTCTCCGAAGGATTGATGACACCCAGTGGCAACAACATGTTAGTAATGCAGAGGTTCGGCATCGTGTGTTCGGGCACAGAGATGACAATGCCATTGGTGTCACCATCTTGAAACACCGACTTTGGTGGCTTGGACATGTCCTACGAATATCGTCCCAGATAATTTACTTTCTTCATAAAAAGTGGTTGTTTCTTCCTTAACTGAAAGATTTCTTCTGACTGTGCCTTTCCGGTTCCCCCACTATTACCATTATTATTATTACTCTGCTTTACACTAACCTGGTCGTTATTATTCTTTTTTTTCTTTTACGCTCCTTACCTTCTTTTTTCTCTCTTCGAATTCTCATTGTTTTGTCTGGCGCATATATATTTGGTGACCTCTTGTACCAATATTTATGTTTTTAAATAAATAAGAGTTAATAATTTGTGTTTTGGCAAGTCGTCTCATATCATCCCTACTTACTTTCTGTGAATGATTTCAAAGACTTTTCTGGTTAGTCATACATTATATTAACTGAAATAAACTATGAAAACATCAAAAAATGATTATTTAACTAACCTGGTCTGCACCATAATATTGTAGAATATTGACATGTTCCAAACCTGGAACATTAAAAAGTGCAACTTCTGTTTCCCAACTACGTTTCTCATTTGACGTGAATATTTTTATAGCTACATCGATTTCTTTTTTGTTCTTACTTAATGATAATTGTGATGAATTTAGATTAAAATCGTTCTGATCATCTGGTGAAGAAAATCGACCGAGCCATACTTGGCCAAAACGTCCGTGAGCTTTTAACTCAACTTTCTTTATGAATGAGCACAACTAACAAACGAGTAAGAATTCATAAAACCAAAGCGATTTTTATATTTGTTGAGTTTGAAGTTAACGCAATAATGCAATCGCTAAGTGTCAGTTACACTAATAATTCATCATAGAAAATAATTGAGAAATGAAGTGAACAGACAAATGGGACCATATTTCTAGAAACATAGAACATTGACTTAATATATCAGCGAACTATTGAGAGACCTTGGTTCAAGACTTTCCAAGTCTTTGTCACCTATATGCACCGGGAATCACGAAAAATGCATACACGTTTTGGGTTTTAGATCACCTAATAGTTACAATTAAGCTAATCAATTAATCGTTTCAATAACCGGTGCACAGAATGATTTCTACGTTACAATCAGTGAACATGGCTAACAAGTATCATTTGAACTTATTCAATCTACGAGTACCAGTATCGCAGTTTTTTATCGCTAGAATGAACCATGCAGTGAACGTAACTTAATCAACGAGGATTTTATTTGCTGCTACCTTGACGTGGTGCTTGGTGCTTGCCTATCGTGATGAAGCAATCGGGTTATACTGGCTTGCGCAAGCGTTCCTCAAGGTCCTACAATGTCAGGCAGGTCGGTTGAAGAATGGTAAGACTAAAATCAGCAAACCCAACGTCCGAGGGAGAAGTCATACTACTGACTGTACAGAGATCTGACGGCAGTAAAATGTTTCAGAGCAGCATAACAGCGAAGCTGCGTTCCCACAAAGGAAAGTTGGGGTTAGATAAGGTTGACCCTAAAAATGCACACCTCACCATATCCCACGGATTTCCGTCTCCGGCGCTAAGGTCTCAACAAGTACGGAGCTAACACAGAAATTACCCACAAAAAGGTCGTGTGTGACTGCCCTCAAGCAGTGATCCCTTGAGCACTGCGGTCATGCTCTTAGATCACTAAAACCAACTCCAACCCAATTTCCGTTTCAGATTCCTCTAGAAGAACTCTTCCACTGTGTGGACAACTGGGAAGTGATAACCATCCTTTTACCTGTAACAGTGTTCAAGACCCCTGGTATTCACAATCAATTTCCTTCTTCAATTCCTATTATTCCTTCTACCTCGACTATTAACTCGAAACTTCGTCCTCAAGTGTCATCACGGCCAACGATTCTAGTGCGCAAAACACTGTCCCAGGTCTTCTGAAACCTCGCTCCAAGCTACACATGGGAGCCTTTAACGTACATACCCTATGTCATATCGGCCAGCAGGTCTCCTTGGCTAAGACCCTAGAATCTCGTACCATTGATGTATGCTGTCACCGAAGCACACATAAAGGATACTACTGTAGTCATTCACTCCACCTTGGTGGGTGTATGCATAGCACTAAGTATGAGGGTTGAACAAGCACTTTGAGAATAGATCTCTGTTAACTCACCTATACGCAGTCCAGTCAAACAGCTTCGTAAAAACTCCGAAGGATAGGGACAGACGTCATTGCCTTTTTGTCGTTTCTGACTACGCTTCTACTGACTGCAGCCCGAATGAAGTGAAAGATGAATTTTACAGAACGTTTTCTGCAAAAAGCTAAAAACCCCGACATAATACTAGAAGCATGTGACTTTAATGCCAAGGCAGGTATCTTAAACCAAACAGAAAGATATTTAGGTGGGCTACTCCGGCTCAGCGAACAGATAATGGTGATTATCTGCTGCAAATACGCTCAGACAACCGTGTATTTACAACAAGCACTAATTTTAAGCATAAGGAGAGACACCGTCTAACATGGTGACTCCTTGCGCCAAACCAATGATGGACTCAAATAGACCATATTGCCATCATTCATCGTTGAAGAGACTCGATAGAAGGCCGTCACTCGTTCTGGAATACCTGTTTGAACTCCGATCATGCACTAATACGAACACGCATTTGCTTGTGCCTCACTGAACTCAAACATACATTAAGAAGAACCATTAGAATTTAACTTAGTGACGAGAAAGCCAAAAGTAGATTCCAGAAACAAATGAGTCCATTGTCGGGTGATTCATAAAACGAGGCCGATCCAGATGTTGCTTGGATACACAAACAGATGTGAAAACAGCAGCGACAGCTATTAGTGATTCGAACCAAAGGGTTACGAAAAACCAATGGATTTCTACTAAGTCCATTGTACTGGTGGATTCTCGTAAACTCATCCCATCAGGCTCTGAACACGATGAAGAACGAAAACAAATCAAATCTAAGTTAGCCAAAAGTCTAAGGAACGACCGTGATCAGTGGTGGGCAACGAAAGCAAAAGAGATGGAAAGGGCAGCAGTTGTAGGTAACACAAGATAGCTTTTCAGAATAATGAAAAAACTATAACTAAAAGGTCAAGTGTAAGTGATACTATCTCGGAAGAAGACGATACCAGACGTTTAGACCGATGGGCGGAATACTTTAAGAAGCAGTTCGGCTGGAGTTCAGTGTGAATGAAACATTGAAGTAGGTTCCCCCCCCCACCGACTTTAATTGAAGTTTAAAAGGTGATAGCTAATCTGAAATGAGGAAAAGCAGTTGGTTCAGATGGATTGGCTCCAGAGGTCTTTAAGTATGGTGGTCCAATTCTGGTGATTAGGTTGACTAATATTTTAGCTAAAATCTGGGAGCTGGACGTAATCCCATCTGACTGGTCACAATCACTTATCGTCCCAATATATAAGAGAGGGTTAAAATCATCCTGTGACAACCATAGGGGGATTAGCTTCACTAACATAGTATCTAAAATACTAGCCTCAGCAATTATCGGGCGCCTAACAAAGATTCGTGAACTGCAAACACGAGAAAATCAGACTGCCTTCAAACCTGGTTGTGGCTGTACCGACCACATATTCACCATTCGTCAGGTTTTATAACACAGGCATACTCATAGGCGTCCGAAAATGATAGTTTTTCTTTACTTAAAAGCAGCACTTTACTTTGTAGACCGAGAGGTTCTGTGGCAGTGTGTGTCATTGGAAGGTGTACCTCAGAAGTATATAAACCTCATGAGGGCTCTTTACTCGAACACTATTAGTAGAGTCCGAGCTTGTGGAGGACTGTCATCTGATGTTGCAACCTCCAGTGGTGTCAGGCAAAGCTGTCCACTATATCTATTTTTGTTTAAATTCATCATAGACGTACTGATGGAAATAACGCTCTCGTCGACTGATTTTCAAGAATTGATATCATTCCAGGAGGTCCACTTATCGACCTAGAAAATGCAGATGACGGAGCTCTGTTTAGTGAAGACACCGGTGAAGTTCAGTCTTATGGAAGTACTGAAAAACAGCACCAGGATGTCTAGAATGTGTTTCTCCCCCTCTCAATGCAAATTGTTGCTTCAAGACATGCCTGCTTCAACACCCGAGTTAAGGATAAAGAGTGAAGCAATCGAAGGCGTCAACAACTTCACTTATCTCGGAAGTCTGATCAGCCCTAATGGGTTGATGTCTGACTGAATCTCTACCCGGATTCAAAAAGCTCGTTTGGCTTTTGCCAACTTACGTCACTTATAGCGAAGGCGAGATATCCGTCTCAACTAAGGGACCAGTATACATACAAATCATGTGGCGCATATATATTCGGTGCCTCTTTGTACCAATATTTATGTGTTCAAATAAATAACCAATATACCGCACAGCAGTTCGTTCTGTTTTACTTTACGGCTGCGAAACGTGACCATTAATGGTAGAGGATACTCGTAAGTTACTAGTATTTGATTACAGATGTCTTAGAAATAATGCTCGCATCTGCTGGGATCACCGGGTGAATAAAAAGTGAGGTCAGACGCATGGTCTTAGGGAATAATCGTAAACCAGTTGATGAGGTTGTGAACCTACATCGACTGAGACGGTTGGGTCACGTGTTGCGTATGTCTGAACACCGATGACCACGACGCGCAATGCTGACTAGTGTTGGAGGCGGTTGGAAGAAGGTTAAGAGCGTCCAAATCAAAACGTGACATAATTCCATGAAGTCACTAACTTCTGATCTGAGCCATGATGGTAGATGCAGACTATTTGGTTGGGGTCCGCGCGACTATCGTAACCAATGGTTCGAGACTCTGTGTAACGGCTTAGAATCAATCACAATGGCGTAGGTGTATACACTCTTTGTTTTCCCTGAAAACGTGAGATTAGAATTATGTTGTACCTTTCTTTCTACGAACTGATTCTTTCTGTTTGTATCATATGTTTATATGCAATCTTTGTTTTATATATTAGTATCATTTAAGTATCTGCTTCTGTGAATTTGGTGTTCATCGTGTTGTGCTAATGAGGTATGGCAACTTGGACCGATGCATATATGTGCCTGATTCTACGTTGTAGGTGACTGACTGAAACACTGCTTTGTTCTATGCCGAATCGAATCAATAATCGATGGTCCCCTCTAGTTACCCTACATTTTCAGTGAAATTAGCCTCAACCTTCCTACCTTTTTCTTCTCAAATCAGGTCTAGCACAATTATCCTCCTATATGTTTAAACTTATATATGTCAATAAACTTCATTGAATCATTTGTCTTCATTAAATAAAACTTTGCACTGAACAATATCTATTTAGACGTTGTACCATGTGCTATAAATGTTACAGGGGCGTGTATACACGAATACACTCAACAGACCCACAGTGCGGGCAAACGCGAAGTGATAACCATCCGCATACTTCTAACAGCACTTAAGACCACTGACTAACTCTCAACAGACTGATATTGTTACTTTTCAATGGTTGTTTTAATCATATAAAAAAAACAATACACACTTGTCATGTGAACATAATATTTGGTGGGAAAATGCAATCAACATGGAACGACAATCTAACACCAGAATGAATATATCAAAGAATCTTTTGAATAAAACTAACCTCAATACATTCACTAGATAACCATCGAAGACCTGTTATTGGATGTTTAGATAAACTGTTCATTCCAAAATACTCATTTTGAGCAACTGATCCATTTGAAATATCATCTTTGACTGTATGACCACGTGTACACACGGAAAAGCAATGCAAAGGACTATACAAGTCAGACAACTTCCCGCAGTGTGTACAAGTTTTATGCTTCCATGAGAACCGCATGCTCTTTACAAGATGAACTATGAAGCAAATTTAGAATACCTACCTGTTTTAGACGACAAACACGATGTCGAGGCAAAAATAGAGCAAAAACGGAGAATATCAAGATTAAAAACAAACCAATAATTATCGGAGCAGTGATTATCAGAGTAATGAAGCTATCCGCATGTTGTGTATCAAAACTTTGCCTTGTTAGTGGAGTATTTCCGAGTGGTCTTGAGTTCTGGATAAAAAAGGGATCTAACCCTGTCGTAAGCAAGGATCTGTTGACTTGAGCTAAATAAAAAGAGTAAGGATAATAAATGTAATTCGCTTGAAAGCAAACGTAAAGATTGCATTATATGGGCTTGAAATATATAAACCACTTAATAATTTCTTAACTGTTTTGGATCATAATCAGCCATCATTGGAACAGATCAGCCAAAAACGAGATCAATTTAAAGGTGAGTAGTATTTTTGATAAGCTATCTACTACGTTTGACTTTAAGGGATGTGGCCGTAGTAGAATTTTAGGATGAAGAATGAGCATTTCTATGACACATATACCAAGAAACAAGAAAACGTTTCAGAATTTGACCTGAGATAAGCATAGAAACGGTTGACTAGCTGCATTCTTAAACATAGAACACACTGAACTAACGCTCATCAAGACCACCAGAGACATCTTGAACTTTTGTATTGTTCACGATCCAAAATATGTCAAGATGAAGCTTCAGTGTGCTTAGGGTGAAACAACCCACTGAATCCCAACTCCAGACTTCAAATAGCCCTCTAACGACAAGACGCAATCACTAAAAACTTCAATTACTTCATACTAGCTTGATACAAAGACACGGCCTGACTGATGGTTTTATTGGAATTTCAGTATATTGATGGGGACGTTTTTGCATATAAGCATATGGGAAGCCCAAGGCAAGTTCCAGATACTACAACAGTAGTCCACCAGACAGGTCAAGAAACTTCCTAGACGTAGGAAAAAGCATTAGAGTGTGCCTATCTCGACAGGCTCTGAACAGTACGAATCCATTTATACTAAGACTAGACATTTATACGAAAAATAATTGGTTATGGATTGTGAAGATAACCCGAAATGTTTCTCGTATATAGAGAACTCATAGAAGTGATGCAATCCTACAACTTTTGGTACAAGAAAATCAGTTGTTATTGACAAGAGATGACACCGAAAAAGCAGTCTTATCAGAATACATTAGTATAGCGTTTTCTACAGACGATGGTGAAAAACCAAAGATTTATTATGATAAAGGCGGATTGTCGATGGCACTTGGACAGTCACCTACAACGTAGAATCAGGCACATATATGCATCGGTCCAAGTTGCCATACCTCATTAGCACAACACGATGAACACCAAATTCACAGAAGCAGATACTCAAATGATACTAATATATAAAACAAAGATTGCATATAAACATATGATACAAACAGAAAGAATCAGTTCGTAGAAAGAAAGGTACAACATAATTCTAATCTCACGTTTTCAGGGAAAACAAAGAGTGTATACACCTACGCCATTGTGATTGATTCTAAGCCGTTACACAGAGTCTCGAACCATTGGTTACGATAGTCGCGCGGACCCCAACCAAATAGTCTGCATCTACCATCATGGCTCAGATCAGAAGTTAGTGACTTCATGGAATTATGTCACGTTTTGATTTGGACGCTCTTAACCTTCTTCCAACCGCCTCCAACACTAGTCAGCATTGCGCGTCGTGGTCATCGGTGTTCAGACATACGCAACACGTGACCCAACCGTCTCAGTCGATGTAGGTTCACAACCTCATCAACTGGTTTACGATTATTCCCTAAGACCATGCGTCTGACCTCACTTTTTATTCACCCGGTGATCCCAGCAGATGCGAGCATTATTTCTAAGACATCTGTAATCAAATACTAGTAACTTACGAGTATCCTCTACCATTAATGGTCACGTTTCGCAGCCGTAAAGTAAAACAGAACGAACTGCTGTGCGGTATATTGGTTATTTATTTGAACACATAAATATTGGTACAAAGAGGCACCGAATATATATGCGCCACATGATTTGTATGTATACTGGTCCCTTAGTTGAGACGGATATCTCGCCTTCGCTATAAGTGACGTAAGTTGGCAAAAGCCAAACGAGCTTTTTGAATCCGGGTAGAGATTCAGTCAGACATCAACCCATTAGGGCTGATCAGACTTCCGAGATAAGTGAAGTTGTTGACGCCTTCGACTACTTCACTCCTTATCGATGGATCTTGCGATTATTGAGAAAAGAGCTGTCTTACGACTACTTCAGCACCTCAAACAAGATAAGTCTAGTGGTTTTGACGATATTCAACCTGAGATTATGAAAGCACCGAGGATATAATTACTGAAAATCTGGCAATACTCTTTGATAGGTAATTGAGGCAGTTTAAACCCCCAATAGACTGAAATGACACAATTATTAGTCTGATTTACAAAACGGGAAGTAGGCTTAGTTAGTAAACATAGACCAGTTAGTCTAATCAGTGAAGTCAAACTAATGGAAAATATTATTCTGATGGCTATTATAAACTACATCGCAGAGAATAATCTTTTATCCAGGAAACATGGTTTTAGGGAAGGCCTATCATGCTTGACAAACCTGCCCACTGCAAGAGAAGATTGAGGTACAGAAAAAGAAAGAAATATTCCGGTAGATGCAATTTTCGTACATCTAAGTAAAGCCTTTGACAAGGTCTCTCACCTAAGTCTTAAATTAAAACTGATAAGTTTTGGGATCCATTATGAAATCATAAACTGGATAAGTGACTTTCTGAATGGCAGGAGGCAATGAGTACGAACAAATGGGGCTCTATTAACGTGGGAATCCGTAAAAAGTGGAAGTCCACAAGTTAAAATCCTCGGTCCCCTTCTTTTCTACTTTATGTGCATGACTTACCAACTGTAGCGAAGTCGCCTATTCCACTCTTTGCAGATAACAAAGAGTTAGAGATCCATACACAGTGTGTCAGATAGAATAATAATACAGGATGACCTGAATTCACTAGTTGAACGGATGGGCAGGTGGCCTCTAGAATTTAACTCTAACAAGAGTGTGGTGATGCAAATAAATAACTGTAACGATTCATATCACTACACAATATGTGGAGTTGTGTTACCTAAAGTAACGAACTCAAAACTACGAGTAACAACACGACTTTCGTTGCCAAAGGCTTCAAGGTCTGATGGACTATTCGTAAGTCATTTCATTACTTGGACGAAGAAATGTTTAAGGTATTATACCCGACTGTTTGTGAGGCAGGATTTGAAATATGTAATTCAAGCAGTAGGTCCTTGTTTTAAGTATGAGACGGATGTGCTAGAATAAGTTCGACGGCGAAAGACTAAAATAGCGAAAAGTCTCTCTGGCCTTTCCTATAAAAACAAACTGAGACACCTTGACTTATCCACCCCGAATTCCCTGGTACTGCCGAGAGTGGGGAGAGTCAGCTCTCTCTCTCTCGAAATGCCCTCACATCACAGCCACTACCAGGGAAGTCTTACTCACTACCCTCTCACGGTGGGAGTGTTGTTTACGAAATTGAAAGGACGAAAAGCGAATGCCTGGCACTTTAACCGGGTTGGTCAATACGGGAGATCCACCTAGGGGATTTGGAAAACCCTGATTCCGAACCAATGGTGCACATGGGCTCCAGTACCCTGAAGGAACAAGTGGCATATGAACCTGCTGTTTGGTCACCAGTTATTAAGGGACTGCATTCCCTCACGTTGCTCCACTGCCCTGTGGATTAGACCTTTAGGTCAAATGCTCGGGTGTGGCCTCCTAAGGAAACCACCTGTTTCGGTTTGGGCAACCGGGCAGTATCCCAGCCCTTGCACAACAAATCAATGATAACTACTGCTGGCCTCACTGTTATTGTGTGGCACATATGTATTTGGTTCCCCCATGTACCAATGTTTATGTGTTCAAATAAATAAATATACATAAACACATATTGATGCAGATTGCATTGAATTATTCGGTAATAAAAAGCGCCCTTAATTTAAAATATCTATTCATGTAATGATAGGAGCTATATATACGGTAATTACATCGTGTGATTTTAAGAGAATTTGAAAGCTCTATAATACGACCTAGCATAGCCAAAATTTCGTTTTGGTAAACTTCAAAATGATACTATTCAGAAATAGCAGAGTAATGATTTCATTCAGTCATTCGAAAACTTTAAGTTGACTTAACATTTCGATATAAGTCGAAGTTAACTCAAATATTTCTTTTTGAAGATCGAAAAATATCTCACCAAAATCCCTTAACACTAACCGTTTTAGATGTTCTATACGAAGCAGTTAGTTTTTAGGCATATATAATAGCCGCCTAATGAGACCAGTAAAGGGATACTGAAAATGACATCAGACAATGGCGGTGTAGTAAATGAACTGCAAATGAGACCTGAGTGCCGTAGATGACTTGATATTAGTATAGAGCTATCCTGCGGGAACAAATGGCGTATGAACCAAACGTTGGTCACCGGCAACCATAGGACTGCATCTCCTCACGATGCTCCACTGCCTTGTGGGTTAGACCTTTAGGTCAAAGGCTCAGGGTGCGGCCCCCTAAAAAAACCACCTGCTTTGGTCTGGGCACCCGGGCAGTATCCCAGCCCTTGCACAACAAATCAATGATAACTACTGCTGGCCTCATTGTTATTGTGTGGCACATATGTATTTGGTTCCCCCATGTACCAATGTTTATGTTTAAATAAATAAATAAATAAAGTTACATTACCGCAGATTACGAGGTGATATAACATTTGCTTATCGTATACTGAACAATGACCTTGGTATTAATGTCTTGTCTTTTCTTTCCGTATAGGACTGATCACCTAAGACGACATTCTAAGTTCAAAAACCGAGATCAAATTGCCTAAGTCAGGAGTTCCGTTTCTCACATGGCGTAGTGAACAAATGAAATACTCTACCAGAACACGAAATACTAGCACCTTCTGTTAATATATTCAAAGTGAGATCCAATCTCCACAGCACTAAAAATTGAGAGGATTAATATAGGTCTACTGTGTTATTCTTACTACTGAAGACTAGTTTTTGTCGACACAACAACAATTATAAAGTGCTGTATTTGAAGCTGCAGTCTAAATGCTATCCAATTCCTTCAAAAATTCGTGTACATCAACATAACGGGATCATAAATAAAGAAGACAAATGATAACTTACAACTTTGTAATGCTTACTACTATTTCCCTACTACTGTGCATAAGGTAGCGTTAATCACTAAATGATAAAATCTGTTTCCTAGACTCACTGGGAGGCGGCGATATTATGGTGTTATTATCTACACCATTGCAAAGAGGACCTTTGCAACAACAGTTGGTAAACCCTTCTTTCGATTCAGATAAAAGATAGCACAGTCCTGGCTCCTTAGGACAATCAGGATCCTAGAATGCGATTACATACAGTACTGAATTTACATCCGGGGACCAATGCCAGCAATCTTGGATATGTTCAATGTGTTTATTAGATTCATTTTGCCATCGGAGTGACAATAAGCAGTGAGAGACATCACGATCGCACTTCTTTCTTCGATTCTCCCCACAGTTAGATGCTGACGGTGTACAATGGCATTCCATTTACGTATGCAAATATGCAAGTTGGGATATCATTACCATTATAAATAGATTTTAACAACTACCGTAGCGAACCAAACCATCGGTACCGCTTACTTCACCTCAATCCTCAATTCGGATACAGATTCAGATTTGTATTAAAATAAGTCGGAAATTCTACAGCCTATGCTATTCTTTTTCCAGTATGCTCCTGTGAATATCTAGCCTTCTCTTGAATGAGTCAATTGGAGGAGCTGTCACCACTGCTTCGGTAACAGGTTCCAATAATTGCTGACTCGGTGTGAAAGCCCTTATGCCACGGGTATATTGTTCATTCTAGGGTTTTATGGTCGCCTACTTTGTTCTCTGAGATGTACCAATCTGGTGGGAAGATGAAGAGAGTATACATTAGGTCCGAAATCATTTAGTATTCTATACATCAACATCAAATCACCTCTTAATCTGCGGTAGGACAGAGAAAATAGATTTAGCTTTTCAAGCCGCTCTTCGCATAATAAACTCCGGATTTCTGGAATTGTACGAGTAACTACTTTCCGCAATTTTTCCAGGATATCCAAGTCATCTTTTAAACAGGGGCTTGTAGCCTGAACGTAGTATTCAAGCTTAGTTCTCACCATGGTTGTGTATACTGTAGTGAGCATAGTAGTAATGAAATTAGTGAACATCTGTCTTAAAACCCATAGGGTTCCTGACAGCGGGACGTGATCTTAAGATTATGCCTCATTGTCACCCCAAAATTCTTATGGGACCAGGCACTTCCCCTATGCTGTACTTATTTACCTTTATATCCCCAAAGTACATGTAGACTCACTTTGCCGCCTTGAAGGCACCTGCCTTTTTACTTAGACCAGCTAACCAAAATACCTAATTCTGTCTGAAGTTGGCATGCATCTGCGTCTCTAGTTATTCCTCGCCAAATTTTTACATCATTAGCGTATAGTGACACTGGGGACTCGACTATACTTGGGAGTTCATTTACGTACTGCATAAAAAGTAAATGACCTAGGACAGTCTAGATCAGTCTATTTATTGGCACCTTATCAAATGCTTTGCTGAAGTTTTTGTTCTCTGTCTAACTAGTTGTTGGTTTCCATGACTGTCATTGTGGTCTTTCCAGTATTTTAACTACAACAATCGTGAGGCCGACAGGTTTGTAATTAGATTGAAGTTATTTTGATCCAGTTTTATGTATTGAACTGACGATTGTATTGAAGATGCCACAGACATTCGGAGTTTGACAACGCCTTTACCAGTAAAACCTTCTAATATGAAGCATACCCACCAAGTGAAATCAAAAGAGAAAAACGAGGAAGTTCGAAGAAATATTTGATATGCTATCAATAATCGAGAATCGCCTGATCTAATCTTCAGTCTTCAGTCTTCGGTTTTCAATCATAAGGATAGTAGGTTAGTGAACCTGTATTAATCCTGACACATTGCTTTCCAGTGAAGGTCCAGCTTCTCCTTGAAAGTATTCACTGATGGGGCTGATACCACTTGTTCGGGTAAGGCGTTCCAATCATTGACTACTCGATGAGAATAACGGGACCCCACTTTAAGTTTATTAGATCGTGGTTTATGAACCTTCTTGCTATGACCTCGGAGATTATTAGTGCTGGAGTGAGCAAAAAGATAAAACATATTAACACCCAAATCATAAAGATACGAAATGCCAGTATAAGGTCACCTCGTGTCCAACGATACGACAAGGGGAAGAGATTTAGGCGTTTTAAACGCTCACCGTAAGGGAGTCTAGAAAGACCCTTCACTAATTTCGTTCCTACACGCTGGACACGCTCAAGGGAGTTAGTATCCTTTACCAGACATGGGCTAGCTGCTTGGATACAGTACTCTAAATGTGGTCTAACATATATGGGATATAAAATTCGAAACATTTCCTCGTCAAAAGATTTGAACGCTCGGCGAAGTGACCATAACGCACGAAAGCCTTTGACAGCGGCTGCTTTGCAATGCGTAGTTGTTTTTAAATCATGACTTAATGCTACTCCTAAGTCTTTGTGCTCTTGAACGCAAGGAAGAGGTTTACCCACAATAGTGTAACGGTAACTATTACCGTGACCGATGTGCATTAGCACACTCTTCCTAGCATTGATTTCTAAGCCCCACTCTCGAGCCCACCTAACTAAATCGTCTAAGTCAACTTGAAGATCCAGATGATCAGCCGCACTTTTTATTTTTCTCCAGATTTTTACATCATCCGCAAACACTAATGTCGACGACCTAAGTAACAATGGTAACTCATTAACGTAGAGAAGGAAGAGCAGAGGGCCTAAGATGGTGCCTTGGGGTACACCACTTTTGACCGGCTTCCAATCGGATAGCATTCCATTGACCCTCACTCTTTGTCTGCGGTCACATATGAAATTTCTTATCCACTACCGTACAGTACCCATTATTCCGAAGCTCTTGAGCTTCTGCATAAGACCTACGTGTGAAACCTTGTCAAATGCTTTGCTAAAATCTATGGATATCACATGGACAGACAGACCGTTATCTAGGGCTGCTGTCCAATCTTCCCTCTCAATAAGCAAGTTAGTCAAGCATGAACGCTTGTTACGAAATCCGTGTTGCTCATGAGCTAACAGATTGTGTAAATTTATGTGGCTTAGCAACCTAACCCGAATTATCTTTTCAAGTAACTTAACGACTATGCTAGTTAGACTGACAGGCCGGTAGTTAGATACTATCTGTCTCTGACCGTCCTTAAATATAGGACTGATTATAGCGTTTTTTCAATCTCTAGGAAGTTGAGCGAGTGAAAGGGACATGTTGAAGAGTGTCGCGAGTGGTTTTGAAATAATGTCCGCAAGAGATGACAGCAACCGTGGATGTAAACCGTCAGGGTCCGGTATCTTACGAGGTTTGAGGTTAGTTATAAACGGAAGGACAGTTTCCTCAGTCACCTGTACAGATTCAACGGTTGGTATTTCGGTGTGAGTGAGACAAGTATTTGTTACAATAAACGTAGAGAATACTTCGCTAAAATAGTCTGAAAAAGTCTCAGCTTTTGCTCGATCTGATTCAGCTAGTATTTCTGAATTTTCGTGTAACAGTAACGGAAGGAATACCATCACTACGTTTCATTCGCCGTTTAACATACGAAAACAATTGTTTCGGATAAGTACGGCTATCATATACTAACTGTCGTTCGTAAGTGATACGGGATTTGGCTATGGTTTTCTTACAGATATTACGGAACTTTTGGTACTCACGCTTAAATGGTGCATGACCTGTCAGCAAGAATAAGTCCCAGAAATGTTTCCTACGCTTTAACAGCTTTCGGGTTTCCTTATTAATCCATGGAGCGAAATGTGATTGCTTACGTGCTGACCATGGGATAAACGGCGACGTTACGGACTCGAACGTAGCCTTAAACTTATTCCATTCATCTTCGATCAATCCATCCGCGTCGACCGACCAATCAGTCGAGATAGCACAGTTTTTGATTTCCGGAATATTGGCTCGCCAGATATTGGGACGGGGTGGAGCAGATACGAATTGTATACCATGTGTCCTAAACTTAAAGTGAATTACAACGTGATCACTATTAACTAGTGGGGGCAGGTGCTGAATATCAAAGATATCCTCACAGTGGTGGGTGAGGGCGAGGTCCAGCAGTGACGGATCATGTTGCAAATCAATATGTGTCGGTTTTGTGATACATTGTACAAGTGCACACTGAATAACGGTAGATAAAAGGTCACTATGGAAACCACTACCTGGAGCTGTAAGCTCTATCCAGTTGATATTCGGTGCGTTGAAGTCCCCAATGATGAGACAATATTCTGCCATACTCCAAGAACAGATGTGTCTTAGGATAAAGTCGTCAGCAAGACAAAAAAGGCTAGCGATTGCAGGGGTTGTTGAGCACGGCGTTCCCACTCCTGATATGGTGCGGATGCATGACCGAGTGCCTTCATCTGGGTGAGTCCATTAAAACTAATGTGGTCAGCATCCAATATCGAAAACCCACAGAGTTATTTATTTGAGAGATTTATTTACCGCTTCCGTATCCTTCCAGTTCGTAGATAACTCATTTTGGCCAAGTGACATATTGAATATCCCAGTCAGTAGGGCTGCAATATATTTTGTATTTAGTCCCAAAAATTACGATCTTGTTAACTTTTCAGTGTCTTAATTGCTAAGGGCTCCAAATGCACTGTCTCGATCAACGTCTACAATGAGCAGACGGTTTATTGACCTTGTTTTCAGGTGAAAGCTGTCGCAACTGTTATATCCCGATGCGAATTATGGATGGTAACCGTTTGGATTTATTTCTGAACTACAATATGCGTTTATTTTTATCCTATAATTGTTAAGTAACTAAACTATTCATATTCATCTTCCTCATATCATAAGCTACATTTTGACCCATAGATTATTATCATACGATTAGCCATTCTTGAGTTATGCCCTGTCTATCAATGACTATCTCCCTCATTCACAGCCACATTTGGCTAAATCTTATGCAAATGTTGTTTCATATTTTATGGTACGATGTGGTCTGTCTAGTTGGTATATAAACCCAGTATGCTTGAAACAAATGATTTATATCGTAGAGGCTGGACTTAACAGGCTGGGCTTAGTGGGAAGCAAGACCGATAAGGACTCTACACTGCTTGTACGGGTTTTATCAGTCATTGGTTCGATCGATAATTCCCTGTTCTCTAATTAGCGGTATCATTACGTTATACATTAACAGGGTACACAGGTCACAAGTTATAACAGTAACATATTTTGCCATGGCGTTTTCTGTTTCACGATCATCCCCTATCATTTGAGATCCATTGTCTTCAGTGATTAGGTTGGGAATCTGATGCTGCATCCATGTTCTGTAATCTATGTATGAGAATAGTCTATTAGGCTGCTTGATTACAGAATGGGCCAACTGCATTTCATATTTTATCTGAGCTTTTCGTATTGTAATTATTCAGTAGCAAGGGATTACTTATGCTTCCATATAAGAAACAAGGCATATTTAACGAGCAAAAGAGAAGTATTAGTAGATTGTAGTGGAATACTGTCCTGAGTCTTTCAAAGGCTTTTGAAAGATGTCTTATTAACTTGTTAGTATCATAATCATAATGAAACGTTG